AACACAGGGCATGGCTATTCAATGATATTCAATGCAACTTTAAATAACAATCCTGTGTGGTTTGTCATGACCCAAAGTGATTAAAAACTCGCCAGGGATTCACCAAAGCTATCCCAAAATCGCACTCTTTTGCAGGAACACGTCAGGAGTCTCCAATGGCCAACGCAGGCCTCTTGGCTGATGATGGCTGTGGTGGAGCCAGCCTGTTCGAAGCAACGATTCCCACGCTGACAAATTGGCGTTCCGAACGATTGGTGGGGGATCGAAGTAAAACCATGAATAATTGATCCCAAGACTCTAAAAGGTTACCTCTTTGTTGGTCATAGATATTCTCTCCACTAAAGTTGTGCAGTCACAAAGAAGTAACCTTTGACTTTGATTGCCCTGTCACAAACGCTCCGTATGTCAACAAGAACTGCAGAACATGGTATAGTCAGATATATGGATTCGTCAGAAAACAGGCTAACCCAAATTCCACGGGTTTACCATCATAATCCCCCAGAAAGCTGGCCTTAACTGGGCCGAGACCATCGCCAAGTCGTCCGTTTGCGAAATGGATGTTCCCAAGAAACATGGGGTCAACATTCAGCAAAACATCCAATGGCTCTACGTTAGATATATAACTTATATAATATCATGAAATAGCCATGGAAAATTGCCCATTTATAGATGATTTTCCCATTTTTCCTCCATTTATAAGGGATTTTCCATGGATTTTCCATGGCTATGTTAAATAACCAGAGGGTAACAAATTATGTCTAGATGTCCAACTCGCCTCCACCTGCAGGTCGATTCCTTGCAGCTGAAAGAAGGGCCTGGGAAGCGAGGTGTTTTGGTGTCACCCTGACGCTGGGAATGGGTCCGGGATTTAACCACACAGGAATGATCAACAAGTGGCATGCAGGTCATCAACCAATCACAGCGATTCCATCAAGAGTTATGGCATGAAGGTTTGGTGAAAAGGATGAGGATTCGAGGATTCGAGGATTCGAGGATGAGGATGATACCATGATCTACGATGATCTACGGTGATACACCGTGATTCTGCATTGGAGGGGCCACGGTGAATGTGTGTGAACGTCATTGATGGACTCCGTCCAGTCTCCACATCTCAGCAGGTGCTAGTTGCAGGGACATAGCAGCCCGGTGTACCCCCCCCCAAATTTATGGATGATCCTGGGGAAAATGAGGTTCCAAACCATGATCATCCATTGAAAAATTGAAGATGTCCTCTTAAAGGGTCAAAAAAAAGATATTAAAATAAAACGACAAATATGTATATATATATGATTATATATGTAATATTCACCTAGAATAATTATCCTATCATATTTTCCAACATATTTCCCACCCAGCATGACGTCGCAGGACTGGGACGCACGACCCTTGGGCCAACAACGGCTCTTGGGCAGCCTCAAGTGGCTCCTATGGGGTTTTGATGGGGTTTTGAGGGGCATGGGGCCTAAGACTGGCCTAAGGTTTGTGGCTTAATTGAGATGGTCTGGACCATCTCAGACCATCTCTTAGTACAAGTCTTGTGATTTTTATAATTTATGTAAAAAAAAAAACATGTGTACATGTAATTCGTATAGGGGCTTACGAAGAATCCATCTTTAAAAAGTTTACCATGAAGCTGCAGAACGGCTTGCCAAAGTCTGAGTATTTTCCGGTGTCACTTTTGGGAAGCAAGTCAAGAGCCCCTTTTGACTAAAAAGCACAATGGTGGAAACCAAGAAGGCAATTGTAAAAACAGAATATCGCGCTTTGAGGACCTACTCGAATCATCCTGATCAACCAGGGAGTACAAGAGGGATTTTGCTGAAATTTGATAAGGGCAACTAAATTTATAACTAAAATGCATATCAATTCGGGTTTGTTCATCTCTGACTCTGCGAAAAGCAACCCCTGACATTCACCGAGCTTGCCCGAGTCAGCACAAGCAAACATGAAATCCCGATGAAATTATGGATCTGAATCCTACAGCCTCAATCCAAAACTGGACCCCTTGAGAAAATTCGGAACCAGCAATCCGTCCACAAAGCCCTCGCCCTCTTTGCCCCAGGTGTTTCACTTCTGCTCCAACGTCCACAGGGTTATCAAAGCCAGCGTCACCAGCTCTCGCAGATCTCAAGAAGCTGTGCTGCACTCTGCTCTTTCCACCCGGGCGTTTCTGGTTGCATCTGGTTGCATCACTTCGTTGAAATCTGAATATATTCCAACTAGTGTTCCAGGAATTATCAGATATGAGGCTCACAGTGATATTGTCTCCAACCCATTCCAAAGTCCTCCAATAGATCACTGGAACATCTCAAATCACGCCAGTCTCATCCATTCCAGCTATCCATCACCATCCAGCAGTTTCAACCATTCAAATCCTCCATGAAAACGAATGGACCAGCCACCCGCCTCGTGAAGCAACCACTGGTCCTGCTCTTGGATCCCTATCACGATGTCCCCCTCAAAGAGCCGACCCACCACGTTGTCGCTGCGGTAGGGATCCCCGGGCTCTGAGTGAACGTTTAAGAAACCACGTTGGGTCTGCACCAGATATCGTCGCGGTTGCTCTTTCTTCAGTTCCTGGCAGGGAGAGGTGACACCTTTTAAAAGGGGCCTGAGTGGATGATGGGAGCTGGATTTTTTTTGGCATAAAATCATAAAATATGTACAGTACATACGTATATGTATTCAATAAATCAATATATGAAATTAAATAGGGCAATGCTGTTTTTTTAATATCATAATAGATATATCTATATATGAATATACATATCATGATATATAAACATCATATCATCATATCAGATCATCATTGAAAAATTGTTACTGGAATGGATCTGGCTGGGTTTAATAAAACCTGACCCAACCATTACAAGGGGATCTCCTTCCAAAAAGGTGTTGCTGTTGCTCACCGTGCATAAAAACACTGAAACAACCGGAGATGAAACCAATAGTAGGAGAATGTGGGATAAGGCATCCGCCTTTTCTCTCCCCAATACTTATAGCCCATGCATAATAGTGTTGTAAAAAAAAAACATCGGATTCACAATGATTCATACTTCTGGTATGAATCATCAATTCGGTTTCCTGAAAAATTGTTGTTTAATCACTGCTAATCATTATTACTTTATAAATTAATCATTCAGTTTCAAAAAACCAGCTACATTATCATCGAAATAGCCTGGTTTGGTAATTGACATCCCTCAAATGAAACAAGGCCATTCAATTCCAAATTCAATTCAACAATAACTGGTTCAAGTTCAATGAAAATCCCAACTTCCAGAATCACCCACTATACCCTCTGGTAATTTAAGATAGCTATGGAAAATCACCAGTTTTAATGGGAAAATCCACTATAAATGGCCATTTTCAATAGCAAACTGTTAGTTTACCAGAGGGTAAAATCGCAATCTTTTGGGGATTTGATGATGGTATCCCTCCACTCCTCCTGTCGTCGCCGCAGGGACTCCGCCAACGCCTCGTCACTGGGCAAGACCTTGGGCGAGTCCACGGGCAAGGCGCGGAGCATGTGGAGCGCGGAGCACCTGCGGTGCTAGAGATTTTTTTTAAGGAGATATGGGGGTTTCCTGCCATGAAAAAATCCCCATAATGGAGTGTTTATAATGAAAAATCCAATCAAAATGGATGGTTTCCTGCAAAAGAAACTATAAAAACACGTTTCTATCGGGCGACAGAAAAACCTGACCCAGCCTTTGGCTTCTGACTCCTGTGGCCCCAGGAATCCACGGCAAAGCAAGGCTCTGCAGAAGCGACAGCACCGCTACAGTAGCCACAGCTCTCGCCAGGGTCGACATGGCGGTCCAGCACTTGGCCAAAATCATCCAAAATCACGTGATGTGACATGACAATAACAAATCATAACGAAACATCCAAATTTTCCATGGCAGTTGGAGGTTGTACAGTCATTCCTAGATCGCCTCCATACCTGCACTCCTTTAATCTGGTACCACAGTTAAAAACCATAAAACCACTGGTATGCTTCACATGTCGGAAGAATGATGAGCTGGTGAGCAGGAAAACGGTCACGATTTGTTGCAGTTCGAAGTTTAACTGGCAATGTGCCTAAGGAAACCCACTAAATCCTGCCCTGATTTGATAGCAACTTCAGATCAAGCGGGAAAGCTTGTGGTTTCGACCAAGCTGGGAAAATAAGAAGGTCACTTGGGTATCATCAGCTGTCATTATCTTCAATACCAGACAACAACAAATGTTTGAAAGAACTGACCAGCAATCCATGAACTGGCGTCTGAAGTGACCATCAACTTTGGGTATGTATGCACAAACAATCTAGAATCTAGAAGATTCCCAAACCTTAGAAAAAAATGGCAACTATTGTGATCAATGTATATACATATACATATTTATAAATATCATTATTGTTATACATTAATAGTATTATCATTGTAATTATTGTAGTCATTACCATTTGTTCTGTTATATACGTTTATCATCATATGTATATTTTACATACCATATTATAACATTATATAACAGATTATAACAGTATTTAGCAATAGTAATACTATATTGTTCATAATGCCAAATTTGGGTTTATTTGATGCTGTTTGCTGCACTTAAAACTGCCTCTCCTGCCCCGCCGTGGCCGCGACCCACTGGAAGGTGCAATCTGCAGGGGCGGGTGGGGTAACGCACATCTGCAGGTTGGGGGCTCTGATTTTTTTCATGATTTCTTGAAACATCCTTGATTTGATGCCATACCCACCTGGGGATGCACCGGAAGTATGATGGAGACAAGAGAACTGCAAAGGAAAAGATCTGGAATGGATAGACCATCTTCATACCAAAAAAATTGAGGTCGAATTAGACCTAGAAAGACAGGATGTGTTTTTTTCAAGTATATATGTTTTCTAATTGAGCAGACTCAACTTGCAAGCCCCCTTCACCTCTCAGGGGATCCAGCTGTGGTGAAGCTAACCACAGAACCAGCAAGAACGAGTATACACTTGGCAGTACACGACCAG